ACATGGTTTCATAGAGGTTTCAACAGGGTTTCTGTTTGGCCCGCAGTGGTTTGCCTTTTTGGAACTCGGGCTTTTGATTAGCTTTGGCCACCCACCTGGCTGATTACCTCGCACTGCAATTGGGGGGCAAGAACCGGGGAGCTTAGAGGGGATCGGGCACAAGGAAAGACAAACATCCAGGGTCTGTGACATCAGCTCGCTGTGGGGTTTAATTGCTTCCGGCTTTTGGGGTTAACCGATCTGTGGCTGTATGGTTTAGGGAACTTGGGTTCGACTCGCACACTCGCTCAGGTTATCAGGGGGGGGCCTGGGCTGGTCGAGGGGGCAGCAGACCTGGACAAGTCACGGAAATTACAGACATGAGAGATGCTCTTCCATGGGCTACTGCCTCTCTATGTTGTAGCATTGAGTTCCAAAGCTGGAGTGCCTCACACCTTATCAGACAAAATTGTCAGCTTGAAGATCACTAACCACTACATTTCGACAGAGCCTCCGACACCTGTCCAAATCCTTCCCCCGGCAAAAAAAAATCAACGGAATCACAAGCCCTGTGACCGTGTGAACCTCAAGAAAAGCCGAGATACATCATCCTGTCTGCCGTCTCCTCGCAGCCTTGCCGAAAACCTGAAAACGTTTGCTAGAGTCAGGTCCGTGCTATGACGAGACCCCTTTGGTCCCAATGGGCCCAAGTCTAGCCAGACCTCGAACCCAAATCGGCTGGCGACGCATAATTAATAATTACAGTATAATATACCCCCAAAGCCTATTCCAATTATCAAGGCCCCTATATAGGCAGCCAGACCTCGGGTCCATCATCTTGACTGGCGACACGAAGTCGGGCAACTTTGTCAACCCTTTCTCGCGGCCTGGGCCCTAGTCAACTCCTCCATCGACCTTCCGATCCGTCCTTGCGCCCTTGGAGAAAATCGAAACCATAACGCATTAGAAAAAGTCACGGCATACCTTGATAGGCCAACATATATCATGATGTGCCATGATTGCTGTGCTCTATACCATGAGGAATCATGATGATCCATGATGGTAGCAGCCGGGGCGCAGGGGTTTGCCAGGATATGGAGCATCACCTTAGCCGTCAGCCGACGATCGCGAATGCCCTTATCGTCATTAACGATACCCGTTGCTCTGAGTCCTACAACCCAAATGCTAAGAGAGGCTCCGTACGACCCAAGCCCCACAAATACTGTTACTCCTATCACCACACTGCCATTTTGCCCAGTCTTGTTCTTATTCCTATGATGATTGGTGTAAGCAACACATGTCATTATCCTTCCTACGGCGGTTGTCATTGATGAGACTTGACGACTTATGGACATACCTCTGCCTTTTCAGGATGTAACATACCAGTATAGGGCCTGAATAACTCCAGTAGGGGCCTGAATAATTAGGCCTCTTAGCCGACCACTAATGTAGGGCCCTTACTAATTAGAATAGGGTGTTGGGGGTTCCTTATTGTAATTTTTGTATAATATACCCCAAACCCTATTCCAATTGTTAAGGCCCCTATCTTAAACCCCTGAACCCCTCGCGCTGCGGCGGCCGAAAGGCGAGGCGACTGCAGTGTAGGGCCGCAGGCTGCAAGCGGATGTCCGTGCTCGGCACGAAGCTACCAGCTCCCCAGGGCTGTTGAGCCTGGGATTTTTAAAATGCAAAATGGGGCTGTACAGGGTCTGGGTCCTGGGGTTTGTAAGGATTTTGAAAGGGGGTTTGTGGGGGTAACATGTGCTTTTTAAAGTTTCGGGTTCCGAGGTATAGGGATTCTTGGGGAGAAGGGCTCAGGCTGAGGAAGAAGAGTTCCCCTTCTGTGAAACGCCACGTCTCATCACAAAAGCCTGCTGGAGCCTGAGCAACCCACTTCTCGGTGCCGAGGGGCGAAGAGAAATTCGTGCAGAAGACGGGTGAAGAACATCGATGTCCGGGACTCCTGAAGCGGCTCCCCTGGGAGTCGATGTAGTATCGGCATGCGGGCCTAAACAAAGAGACTGGGGTTTCTGGGTATTGGAGTATAATTATGATAAGGAACACTTTGGAATAGTATGAGTAATCACTCAGGCTTCTACAGCACAGCGGCTACAGGCAAGTACTGAACCTCTTTAGCCTTGTTTGTTCGAGCAAGCTTCAGTAGAAATCTTTTCCTGCTTCGGCCGGCCAGACAAGTGTGTTGCTGGCTTCAAAGCCCCGACCCCTGCTCGAACCCCGAATCGGGAAAGAGTGCAGAATCAGGATCGGCAGCCCGGGGCGTAGGATGCCGTGCTGAGATACTGTATGCGTGGGTGTATCCTGGTCATGTACTAGTGAGGTACCTAGGGCTTAAAGGGTTTATAATATCAGGGGTTATAAGAGACTGTAAGGGTTTATACTGGTATAGGGTTTTATAGGGTCTATACGGGTTTATAGGGGCTGACATTCTCCATCGTAGTTCCATTTCTGGTTTAACCAACTCCATATTTGGGACCCTATAAGGCAACGCCAAAAGGAAGTACAATATAGAGACCCTATAAAGACCGATAGAACCCAAATCCTAAAATTCCAATCCTTCCTATTATGCTCTTGGGGATAGAAGGTCGTCGCCCGTCCTGCGCTCGAGCGAGCTCATACTGACGGTGGGGCAGATGGGTCTGCATATGCGCCAGCAGGAGCCTGTTTAGGATTACAGTGTGGCTTGATGGGGTTCGATTCAAGGACGTTTAAGATCTATAGAGGGTTTGGGTCTTGGATCTAGGGATGAGCAGTACGTCGCTCTTCCTTCCAAGCCCTCTGCACCCGATTCCCGTCAAGATGCTACGCACCAGTTCCCCATCTACAGCCCATGGAGCAGGCCCTACGGGTTAGCATAAGGGCTAGCATGAAGGTTGCTATAAGGTGTACTATGAATTAGAGGAGTTGCTTTAGAAGAGCTTTCGTCAAAGTTGATCCTTTGGCATATCACGGGCAAGGCAAGGTCCCACATTATGGCAATGGGGCATCACATGGCAACAATATAGATCCCCTCCAACGTCACCCCAAAGTTGGAAGCCCCAAACCACAACCGCAGAACCGGAAGCCTCTTGTTGCTCCTGGAACCCAGAGAAATTGTTGACGCGTGGCCTCATGACCATTGCCTTATGAACGCCCAACAGATCTTTCAATCAACTTTAGGTTCTGAAGTACCGAGTTCCTAAACCCCCCCGACCTGTCGTGCTCCTCAACTCCAAGATTCACCCTCACATACTCGGATGGCAATCGAAACAGCGTTCATTACCCAAAAGCCACAAACGCCGAACCCTTCCACCTCAAGGCAGCTACTGTACACCCAGTGCTCTCAACTTCTAAGCCCACGAAGTCTGAAGCTCCTTCAGCCCAAACTTCTTCCTGCAAAAGCGCCTGAGGCCTGAATCCTGAACGCGAATATCCTGAAACTATTCCAAGACTGCAATCCTAGACCCCTAAACCCTTTTGAAAGCCTAAATCCCAAAGGCTGTGAAGAATCTGTTAAACAGAAGAGACGAAACCCTAATTCCTGATCCACTTTTTCTCTTCCTCCGGCCACTTTTCTTCTCTCTCCACTCTGTCTCTCGCTTGCTTGCTTGCTT